GGCACGTTATTCTTAATCAAAATACTTTTATTCAATGTTGTTTATATGATTATCCGAATGTTGCGCATGCGTACAACGGTAATAATAATATTCTTCATTAATAGAATTTAAGATAATAACATTCGGATTTGAGCATTTTATATATTCTAATGTAATTACTTTGTCATCTTCACTCTTGCATAATGATGAGTTTTTAAGATGAAATTTACATCTAACACAGGTATGTGTCATATTTTAATGCATTCTATTTACATTTGTTATGTTTAAATGTACATACATTTGTTGAAACGTTATATACTTTAAATATTATATATAATTGTGATTTGAATATTATATTAGACGTACAATTAAAAGTGCAATCATTGCAGGAATGGAAAAAATGCTAAAATTAAAATGTTATAATTTTACATTTACTTTATTAAGAATATTTTTACCGTTGCACACATACGCAACATTCGGATAATCATATAAACAACTATTTAATAAAAGTATTTTGAGATAGAGAACAACGTGCCAGTATGAAGGTGAATTTCGAGGAGAACGGTATACATCAAACTTATATTCCGTTCTTTTAAACAACAACTGACTTTTCTTTCGATTAATTAAACAATTATTTTAATACTCTAATGCACTTCTCTCTATTTATATTAAAATAGTTATTACACACGAGTTATATACATGTGTATTCATCTATAAAACGAAGTCTATATTTCGTTACTCTCGCGAACAAAATCAATTTCAATTTTGAATCTTCATCTCGTACATTATTATTTATTTGTAAAAACGTTAAATATCGGGAGATGAATTATGATGAAAAGAAAAGAACAAAAAAATTCAAAGAACATCCTTCTACCGATAACTGTTTAAATTTTCTCGCTGAACAAATACGCGTATGTTATTACGAAGAAAGATATTTACGGGCACGCGTGTGATTCTCATCTTTCGGCGAGAGTAAAAAAGAAAAGAAATGGAAAGAGAGAGAGAGACACACACACACACAGAGAAAGAAAAAGAGAAAGAGGAGAAAGAAGAACCAACTTATATACACGCATACACGCACATATTTACATACATGTAATAGATTTGGAAGGTATATCAGGGCATAGTAGAACGACGAGCGTATCGCGTTACGTGCGAGCCAACGTTTGTTACAAGACACGAGAGAACGGAAAGAAGAGAAGAATGAAGAAGCGGATTCGTCGTAAAGGCTCGAAGGTAGAGCGAGAATGGATACTGGCATGGGCCTCTTGAAGGCCCTATTAACGAGTGACCCCCCGCGGCCGACCACAGCGGGCCCAATCAGAACCGTAGCTCTCGATTCCGAGTCGGCCCTGTCGACTCTCTCCAACTTGTTTTATGTAATGCCCGCGACGCCAGAATCAATTAGCCAAGGCACCCTCCTATTTTGCGTATGCATGCGCAACCAAGCCTCTGCTATATGCATAGGCTCTGACCGATTCCGAAGCCGAAAACTTATTTGCAACCTGGCGCTCAGTCCATCGCGAAACCTCCTTCCTTCCCTCCCTCACTCTTTCATGCCTCCTCCTCCTCCTCCTCCTCTTTCCACCTACTTGCTGCCGATGCCGCGATCTCCCGATGTTGGGGACCGGTAGACCGAGTATAACCGGTTTTTTCTTTCGTACACCGAGTTAGGCGAAAATTAAATGACTCGAGAGACAAACGCGAATTTTTATTTCATTCTTTTTTCTTTCTTTCTTTCTTTCTTTCTTTCTTTGTTTTACTTTTTTCTTTTTTGTAAGATCCATTTCTCACAATTTTTTTAATCCTTTTAATTCTTTCAATCCCCATACACAAGACACGAGGATGAACATATTTATTACATATACAAGAATAAACTGCAACAGGTTGAAATTATTGAAAGATAATCTTATCGACTGGAAGAGTAGTTAGAGTAGTATGGAGAGGATCGTTGTTTAATAAAGCACGGAGTATTCAATTAGCGAGAGCATCATCCTTCGGTACTTTAATGAGCTAAAGCCGAAGATATAAAAATGGTTTATGCCCCGCGAAAGTCGACACCGCGATGCCATCAATTAGGAGTTTACCGAGAGGTAGAAGAAGAACGTTCTGGGTATAATCAACATATTCAACGTGGCAAATGAGACGAGTCTTAAATCGATAACGACGGGATAGCCAATTTTCAATTAGCCCTTTCTGACCTCGATGAAAGAAAACGAAAAGATTGAAAGGAAGGAGGAGGAGGAGGAGGAGGAGGAAGAAAAGAGAAGAAGAACAAAAGTTATTGGTGATAATTTCTTCTGTGGCAACTCGTCGATAGATAGATTCGCGAAGAACGGAAAGAAAGGTGGATAAGGAGAGAGAGAGAGAGAGAGAGGGAGAAAGTAAGATACAAGGGGGGGAGGAGGAATTGCCCCCTTTTCCTTTTCTCTCGTAGAAAGAAAACCGTCGAGAGATCTCTCACCAGGACCATGGGTTGCTCAGCATGAACCCCCCATACATCAGACAGAAGAAAATGTAAACGGCATGGAAATATTTTGCTTTCTTTCTTTTTTTCTCTTTTTCTTTTTCAATGGAATGAGAAAAGGGGAAAATCAAAAGAATCGGTTATTGGTGGTGGTGGTGTTGTATTCAACGAATCCAACGTAGTATCGCGCATATCGACTGTGAAAGAGTAGAGAAACATACGTCAAGCTTCTTTATATCGGGTTCGCGGATGGGGGGTCGACGTACATAACAATGTAGCAATTTGCTTCCTTTCGATATGAGATCTCACTTTAGGGTGTTGCTTTCGTTCGCTAACGCACACTTCCACCTTTGGGCTTCCTACAATGTCGATTTTTTTTTGTGTGCTTCCCTTTGTGTGTTCATACTTGTGTTTGAACAAGCCTATGTTGTAAGAAAAAAAAAAATAAATCTAACAGAATTTTTACTTTTTGTATTTTTATTATCTCGAAGAAGAATCGTCCAAGAACATTTTATTTAATTACGAATATTTTTTTATTAAAGCAATAAGGAAAACAACAACAACAACAACAAAAAACAAAAAGATATTAATGAAATATATTCTACCATTTTGTGTGTGTGGTATCTTTTATAAATGGAATAAATTAAAATTTCCAGATAAATTAATACGAACTCGTTGATTCCCATTAATAAGTTAACTTTTTTCTCCATGTTGTGTGTGATATGAATAAGTATACAAATAACACATACACATATACGCATATATAAGTATACATACCTAATACATAAACATATACATACGTGTGTCTATATAAATGTATATTTTTGTTTTACATGTACATGTACGTGGTAGAATGGAACAAACAAAAAAATAGGAAGAGAAAGAAAATAAAGAAAAGTAAAAGAACGGGGAGGGGTGAGGG